TGACAAGTGTAAAAAAATAGTCATCTCCTCCAAGATCACAAGTAGAAATTAAGGAAATCCATGGGAAATTATGTATTTCAGTTCTACCGAATTGAATGCAAACTAACTGTCATCTAAAAGTTCCCTCCACCTATGTGGGATCAGATCAGTACAAATGGGACACAACCCATCCTATCAGCAAGGGACAATTGACGCCAATTAATCAGTGGTGACTTCAGGGAATGTTGTTCAAAGATGAGTTAGTCACTTATGCTAACTCTTCCAAAAGTAGCTAAAGTAGGAGGTTATGGAGAAAGAGCTCTTATACATGGTTATCTGACACTAAAGCCTTTTTAGGCAAACTCATGTCTTCTGATTTTTGACTCCCTCTTGTATTCTGCTTTATAATGAAGCTTCTATCTTTAGACGTAAGCAATGGGTTCTTTTCACTTATATTCTTAAACCATGAAAATTTGTCGCCTTCTTAGTTGACCACTAAGCCAGGAAACCTACAAAGCCAGATTGGCTAACATCCTAATACACCCAAGATCGAGCACATGGGGAGGAAATTACAACAGGTACTTAAAACTCCTTTTGCTAAAAATCAATGAGTCTTCATATGGACCCAAAAATGCTGTGCTTCCATTTTGTGTCTGTCTTCTTTGCCCTGAGCCATTGTCTTGTCAGATTACCTTGGATTCCCAGAACAAGAGGGAATCCTTTGTCAACAAACTTGCTACAAAAATCAAATCTGTCTACCCAGGCACCAACAATTTTTATATCTGGAAAAAGCCCTGTTAACAATCAACCCGACCACACTTTTGACTATGCTTAATTATAACATAATTTAGCATATTATGTTATAATTATATGTTATATTATGTTATATTATGCTAAATTATGTTATAATTAAGCATAACATGTATGCTTAATTATATGTACATCGTGCCTTTGCTTCCCCAGTCCTGCTACTTATCTCACTTGGGCCTCCAATTCTTAACATCCTTATTGAAATTCTTACCCCCAAGCTACAAAACACATTTTCACCTTTGGATATAATGACTATTTCATTTCATAATGCTATAATCTTGATGGTCCAACAATGGAAATGTCATATTCTCAGCAGACTTCACTGCCTGAGACCAACCAACTATCCTGACAGAGACCAAGACACTGGGCCCTAAGTACCCCCATCACCCCTGTCATCAAGAAGCATCCAGATTGATTTTTCTGTCAATACCCATGAGAGAAGTCTTGGTCCTGAGCACTAGATGGAGTGGGAGATGGAAGATGGGGAGATAGATAATGTAGGCAGTTAGGTAAGCATGAGAAGAAATGAGGAAATGCCTTGGGCTAGTGGATTCTATTCTAAAACCCCAGATGTTTCACAACCACAGCCAGTGACTAAGATGATGGCCTTATATCCTCTGTAGAGAGCTCATTCCCCAAATCAAGGTCAGTCATGCCCCTTGACAGCAAAATAACTGCTATATAACCTTCTGCTGACAGCACTAAACAGAGGAGGGCAAAGCAAAGAGGATCATTTTGGGATAAGAGCATAATGGGAGAGCCTCAGTTTCTTGCCACTGAGCAACCTCACCCTATTGGATAAAACCCTACCCCTGGCAGCTTCCATGCAGTCAGTCCTTACCCAAACTTCCCACTTCACCACTTTTGCCTTGCTAATACCACTCTTTCCTATATTCCAAAAAATGAGTAAATATCATTCGGTTAAATTTTGGGTGTGGGGAGGAAGCATTTCAGGTAATATGGAACAAATTAGGCACAAAGGGGAGAAATCACAGGAACTGTGAGGAGAGCTCGTATCTGAACCATACTTGTGTGGTTTGATGTTTCTCTACACCAAGTGCTTCCAGACTTTGCTCTCCACTAGTGCACTCTAGTTTTCAATCAAGTTCATTGGAGAGGTGGTCTTATAGAAAGATGTCAATTTATTTAGTAGTTATATACTTTTATCATTCATAAAATTCAAATAAAATTAGAAATAAATTTATAATTATTTGTATAAATTATTTTATATGCATGTGTATATACATTTTTAATAATTTTTTTATTGTTGTGCTGGGTGGGGGGATGTTTTTTGAAAAGAAAAAAGTCCCCACAGTCTTTCAAACATACAATAATATCACATAGTAAAAATAATGTTGGAATAAATCTTCCTCCTTTCTTTTACATAATTGTAATTGTGACATTTATTAGGAAAGAGGATGCTATGATTCTACATGACCTTTTAAAAAAAAAGTAATATGTAGTATCTGCCTTTATCAACATGGCTGTGCGCAGAAACTAAGGTTTAGAGCTTTCTAAGTAACTCTGTCTGAATAATAGGTGATTAAATATTAAAGCCACAATGTAAACCCAAGGTATCTCCCCTCAAATTTGTCTTCTCCATCAATGCAAAACTACCTTCTGCATGGGAAATGAAAGCTACCGAAAAGCTGGGAATGTGCAAAGACAAAACAAGTGTTTCTTTCTGTTTTGTGGAAAGATTCAGTTATCTTTTGTAATGAGTATTAAAAACAGAGCCTGAAAAGAAAGAAAGGCAATAAGGGTTTCATCACTAAGTGAAAAGTGTAGAATTATCTGAGCTGTAAACTTGTTCCAAGAAAAATGCAGTATCTATATTAAAATGTCAGTAGTAATTTCAAATAGATATAAAACAAAGATGATTCTTATCTTCATTATCAATACTTTTCTAGAAAATCTGAAAAAGAATAAGGAATGTAAGAATTGTAATTGCTGGAAAGGAGATGGAATTTATCATTGAAGATAAAATGATTATCTATAATGAAAGCCCAACAAATCATTGAAAATCTAATATTAACTTTATTTTATACCAGCAAGAATTGTTACAATAAAGATATAATGGTTTAAAAGAGATTTATTTAACAACTACAACAATCTTAGAAGAATATATGGTAATAAATGAAAAAAACACAAAAACTTGCTGTAAAGTATAAAACTTAAATACTTGTCTTCTTTTAAAAATTTAAAACTGTGCCAGGTGCTCATGGCTCACGCCTGTAATCATGGCTACTCAGGAGGCAGAGATCAGGACGTTCACAGTTCGAAGCCAGCCTGGACTTAGTTCTTGAGACCCTATCTGAAAAATACCTAACACAAACAACAAGGCTAGTTGAGTGACTCAAGAGGTAGAGCACCTGCCCAGCAAGTGTGAGGCCCTGAGCTCAAACCAGAGTACTGCCAGAAAAAAAAGAAAAACTAGTCTCACAAGTGAATAAAATTCCAAGTAGTGCTTTAAACTAAGTGACTAGGGAGAACTTGTCTTACTATATACTAAATTTAAAAGGTCACCTATGCTGTTTTTCAAAGTATACTGGAACAAAATCGAGATAAGTCAATTAGTTAAAATTAGTCCTTAAACAGACTAACAGATGGAAGGGTTTAACATATCCTCAGACAATTATCAGATTTGCAAACATAGCAGAAGTATGCATTTTAGTTTCATTTAAATCTAGCTATCTTACCCTAATTTGCTCTGGAGTATAAGTTACTATTATTAGACAAACCCAAATGCCTGGTGTTACTTAACCTGCAACAAACTACTACAAGAAACATCCTAATTGCAAATCCACGCATGTAATTCAGATTGTGTGCCCACTTCCTGCTAGGGTATCTTATTGGGAACCAGAATTCGCTCCTTTTTTCTTCTGGTAGATGTCATTTTAATAGGCATGACTTGTCTATTCTGATTATACATCTTGTCACTGCTCATGTTGTTTTGATGGATAACTACTTCTCTTTCTGTGTACCTTGGGGGCCAGGGCAGTGAATGTGTTTTATTCCACATAGCCTATGTTTTGAGTCTACTATGCAAGGTATAACTTAAAAATATGATGAAATTCTTTCAGACATTTTCATGGCATCAGCATCAGGTAACAGAAACTTCTTTTACTATCTATTATTTTTTTAGGAGGAATTAGTAACAACTAAAGTGATAGATGACAGGAAAAGAAATACTGTTCCTTTACACAAAGTAACAATATTCAACCTTCAAAAATGATATTTTTAAGAATTTTAAATTATTTAACTCTTTCCAGAAAGTGTGTTATGAATAATGTCTTTTAATTTTGGTTTTATATATTTTATTTTTATAGTTTCCTTTATTTTTCAAAATTTTTACAAGTATGAGAACCAGAAAAAAACACTATTTTAAAAAGATGAAAAGCAAGATGTGTAATGATTGGACTGCATATTATTAAGAATATAAATAGAAAATTATTTATAAATAATTAGTAATAATAATGTGTACTCTTAACTGATTTTACAGAAAGACATGCCTGCAGCTTTTCTTCAGTGTTCTCAGGGGGTTGATGGCAGGAACTCTTCCACAGACACAAAACACACCGGATGCTCAAGTCTCACATAATACTGCATAGCATTTGCACATAACCTAGGTACATCCTTTAAGTCATCTCTAGATCACTTACAATACTTAATGCAATATAAATGCTGTAGAAATAGTTGTCATATTGAATTGACTAGGGAATAATGACAAGTAATAAACGTCTATATGTTCAATACAGATGCAATTTTTTTATTTCTGAATATTTTGATCCAAGATTTCTTGAATCCACAGATATAGAGCCCACAGACATAGAAGGCCACATGTCACATGTATCTATAAGACAAAACCATTCTATTTTGCATCCCCAAATGCAGTCTTATTGTTTCCACCTTTGAACAGATAGGTAAAGTACCACTGTCAACTCGTGGCAGTTCATCCAAGGGCAGGAAACACTTTAAAATATAGACCCTTAATGCTGGATTTTCAACGCTTCAGCATGTATAGTAAGAATGGCAAACATCATACCTACTGTGTCTCAAATATGGCATGATTTATAAACATCATAATTTAACCACCATGCACACTTTGACTCAAATAATTGATGAAAAACACATAAAGTTGGTGTATGTGGTTGGTTATGTTTTCATAAATATGATCACCAGCTGTTTTATAAAACAGTAAAATACAAGTTTTATGGATTTGATTCTAAAAATAGTGTATACCTAGATGAATCTTTTTGGAAAATTTTACCTAATAGAATCATCTTCAGTGCTTTTCTGAACCATGGATTTAAAAAATGCATAAACCATTGGATTAAAAGTAGAGTTCAGGTACCCAAACCAAATTAAGGCATCATTCAAAGAAGGTGGAATGATGTTGTCCAGGAAAGGATCCATGACTGTGCAGACAAAGAAAGGGCACCAGCATATTAGGAAAACTCCCATTATAATCCCTAATGTCTTCGCAGCTTTCCTTTCTTTGCTTTGTGAAATTCCGTTTTTCTCTTCTAATGCAATGTGAAGCTTCTGATTTGTATCACTAATTGATCTTGCTGCCCTTTAGCTATGAAATATATTCTATAATAGAGACATAGCATAATGGACCCAGGTATGTAAAAAGAAGTCATAAACGCCAATACCCCAGATATTTTACTAAAGAAGACAGAGCAGCCTCTGACTCAGCAAATGTGTTTGTAGTACATCTCTTCGACTCCTTTCAAATTCAGCTCCAGAAAGATCACTCCAAATGCAAAGACATCAGGGACACTCCAACTAATGAAGATCATCACAAAAATAACCAAGATACTGACCTTGGCTTTGTATCTCAGTGGTCACACACAGCATAGTAGCGGTCAATAGAAATGAAGGACAAGTGGAAAATGGATGCTGAGATCAGCATGATGTCCATGCTGGTGTGAATTTTACAGAAAATTTCTCCAAAATGTCAACAGTGCTCAATAGATCGCACCATGCTATAGGCATGACCAGGCACCCAAGCAGAAAGTCCACAGTGGCCATGGAATGGATGAGCCAGTTTGCAAGGGTATGAAGTTGCTTGAAGTGTGATACAGAAATAACTATCAGATTGCCAAGAAGATTGGTCAGAATTATGAGCACCATTAAACTGTACAGGGATGCCCGGACATCTCTCGTCCAGTTGCTTTTCACACAGGAAATATTAACTACATTGTGGCAAAGGGGCATCATTCTTGAGAACTATCCAGCAGTTTACATTTCCCTTTGTATGTTCAGTAATCTTTCTCCCAAATTCATAGCCAGGTTAGAGTTCCTTCTCCTTTTATGTTTTATTTGCATATATATATCCCAGAAACCTGGATGAAAAAAAAGAACAAACAAATGGTCAGCAACTACAGATTTCTCATACTTTTAACACATTTACCTTTTTTTTTTTTTTGGTACTGGGAGCTGAAATTAGGTCTTTGTACTTGCTAGATAAGTGCTATATCACTTGAGCCATGTCCCCAATCCTTTTGCTTTTTAGCTTATTTTATAGGTAAGTTCTCATATTTTTGCCCAAGCTGACCTCAGACTTTGCTTAGCTCTGCTTCTTGAGTACCTGAGATTATAGTTGTGCTCCACCATTCCTGGCCACATTTACCTATTCTTGTTGAAGAATAATTATTTTAGAAGGAGCTTTATTTTCAAGTAACATCTAGTTGAGCCAGACATTGCATTAAAATATTAAGCCTTATTAGGTTGAGCTATATAACATTGATACATTTCTAAGTCAGAGAAGGTCAAATGATGATTATTGTCATGTATTGTAATCTATGGAAACAGTCTTTGTTCATAGATAGCCAGAATCTAGTAGGAGACCTAAAGGGCAGATGTAAATTAACAGAAAATTTAGAATTAAAATATGTCAGTAGAAAAAAAGAAATAAGGGGAACATAATCAAAGTACATGTATGAAAATGTCCTAATGAAACCCGTTTATTTTTTTTTTACTGTTGTGCTGAGTGTGGATACATTGTGGCATTTACAAAAGTTCTTATAGTATATCAAATATATCGTACCTGTAGTCACACCCCCCATTCCTGGAATAGTTTAAACAGGTCTCACTTTTCCATTTACACACATGTGTACACAGTATTTGCGGTATATTCACCTTCCCATGCCTTTCCCCACCTCCTCCCCCTCCCACTGGTACCAACCCCTCTCTCCAGGCAGGACTGTTCCATCCTCCTGCCCTCCTGTTTTGTGAAATTTTAAAAAATGACATTTTTGTTTGTTTAAGATAACTACACAGGGAATTTCCTTATGACATTTCCATGTATATATGTATTATAACCGGAAATGGTCCATTTCTTCTATTTTCTTCTTTCTATCTTCATCCCCTTCTTATGGTGGAAACTCATTATTTTATAAAATTAATATAAGAGACTCAAGAGACTAGGGCAGGAGATGGCAAGTCCAAGGTCAGCCTGGGCTACCTAGTGAGACATTGTCTGAATAAAAGGAAATACCTTAAATGTGCTTTTGTACAGAACACCCACTAGTGCCTACTTTTGTACTTGATCTTGTGTAAGGTATTTCTTGTCTTAGTTGATTGTAATGAAAGAAGCCTCCATGCAAATTTCCAGTTTGTAAAGCACTTCATGCATTGTTTCATTTAACATTTTAGTTCACCTCTACAATATCATCATTCCTGGTAAGGAAGACATGGCATGTTTTATTAGCCTCATTTTCCAAGCAAGAGGTTTGGCTGATAAAATGAACAAAGCAGGAATGTGACTTGAGGTCTCCATTACTAGTTCAATTTCTTTGCAGTATAAAGAATCAACTCAACATGAATTAAAGGACATTAAGCTTTGTTTTTAACTTTTGATGTCTTAAATAATGACACATATGATATGATATTGTGGTTCTGTCTATTTAAGAATTTTTAATATGCAGATCAAAGTCTAAAGTAAGAAGTGACACAACATAGACTAAGCACCAAGATGAGCAGTGTGGACAGTGAGCTTGGCATGAGATCTCTTCTTTGTGTTTCTTTAAACTCTGGAACTCACTAAAATTTGTTTTTATGAGCTAGGCATGGTGGTACATGCCTGTCATCCCAGCACTCAGGAGACTGGCAGGAAGGTCAGGAGTTTGAGGCCAGCCTAGGCTAAATAGCAAGACCCTATCTCAAAATAAAAGAAGTCATGAAATCCCAATTTATAAAACAGGTGAAAGGAAATTTTTTTTAAATAGAGGTGTTACCTCCTCTTCTCATACCTCATTAAAGAACTCCCAAGCTTCATGGGACTCAGTTTGAAGATGTCTCCTTTGTTTCTACATGATTCTGCAATTCTAAACATTTTTATTATATTATATTATATTATACATTATTGTATATTTATATACATACATATGCACATATTGGGAAGCAAAGGGGAGAGAAGATGAGGGGAACAGAAAGGAGAGAAGACAAGCTAGGAGAGATTTGTTACCTAAGTGATAGCTTGCACTTGGGGGAAGAGCACAAATTTCTTGCAATCAGGGAGGCCTACAACCTCTCACTATGTTGCAAATATGCTAGAAAATATCAACAATCCTTAGAATTTCAAGTCTTCTTTCCTTTTCACTTTTCCCCTTTTTGTGGGGGCTGATGACTTAGAACAAGACTACACAGAAATATAAACTTCCCAAACTAGAATTATAGTAAAGTAATATTTAGGTACTAAAGTATATAGTTTAGTAAATTTGAAACACCTCTCCCCTATCCATCCCTATCTACTGTTCCTTGTAGGAAACATTCATACCAAATAAGTCTCTAAGGTTTACTTTAATAGACACCCTGGCTCATTTCCACGACAGAACAAACAGCAAAGTAAAACTATTAGGTTACTTGAATTAGGAAATATTTGAATTTTAATTTAAAATTTCACTAAAAAATTATGGATTTTTAACTATAAAATTTAGTGTGGATTTAACTAAGCTATCACTTAGGTAAGAAACCTACTTAGATTTTTTCCAACTCTTCCCTCCCTTGTCTTTGCCATTGACATATTAAAGAAACCAAGCAACCCACTCCCCCAATCCCTTTTTAGAAGTGTTTGTTATGACCTGGTTGTGAAAACAGTCCTACCAAATGTCATATTGACTAGGACTCACAGCAGGAACTATGGTTCAAAAAACAAGTAAAGGCAAGGTAGAAATAAAGCAAAATAAAAATTCCAATTTTAGAAGAGGAAGGTCACAAAAGATAAAAAGCAATCTGACACCGTTGTATATCTTGTTCTTTATGAACCTAAAATGCTCAGTCAATTCCCAAAGAAAAAGCAAAATAACTCAGAGATGGCCTCAAATTCAGCTTTGCTCATCTTGGTTTCAGAGAAACAGAGCCTTAAGCATAGAAGCTTAGAAATTGTTGATAACATTAATACCATGTTGGCAGAATAATTTGTCTGTGCAACTTATACAATATTAAAGATCATGATTGTATGAGTTTTTTTGAAGTGCAATAATTTGCTATGAAATAGATTTATCACTTAAAAATGCCCTACTGTGACATTCTGATTGAATGCTTATCTAAGGACATGACAAAATAATGGTTTTATTTTCCTTCTTCCAGCTTTAAAGTTCATCTAGCTAAGAGTGGTTTTAATCTGATAATGCAAATATTCCAGGTGGAACATACAACAGTATTATGGAAAGTAACTAAGCTTTGGCTGGGTCACCTAGCTAACCACACAGTTCTGTGTGGATTCTCTCATCATCTTGACACAGTGGCCACTCCCTTGGGAGTCCTTCTTTGCAGTTGCTTCCCCTCCCTTTGCCTGGCATTCTACATTATAAAGATGTACCCATGTGATTAAGCTGTTAACAGCTAAATAATCTTTCTTTAGATTTATAGCCCCAGAACATCTGGTTAGCCTCCGATAACATCAGAATCTGTATTGCTTCTCCTTATTCTTTACTTCCATGCATCAACTAACACAAGCATATAAATTACTGTGATGTTTAACCTGCAGGAAAGTAATGTGTTTGTTTATAGAATTATAGAAACTAGTCCCAGGAAGTGAAGGTCAATTGCAATATTCCAGTAAGATAAAAAAGAAAAAGAGAAATTCCAGGGTAACAAAGACCCTGCTCAGCACGTGATCCGTTCTGTCCATTGACCGGCCTCTCCTGCTTTCCTCTCTCTCCATATGTATATAAAACCCTTATGCTTCAGTCCCCTCAGGCTTTTTTGTGAGGATAATAGCTCCGCCATCTTCTCAGGGTGCTGGCTTTTGTATAACCTGACTTCCCTCCCACCTACTCTCATCTACCAAATATTGGCTTTTAAGAGGCAAACAGACAGACTTGAGTTCAGTAACAATCTAATGTTTAAAGATGATATGTGAATTTAAAATACATTGTTAAAAGGTACAGTTTAAAATACATCTGTGTAGCAGAATAAGAATTCAATAGTAAAGTGCCACAAGTTCCCTATAGAAGACCAACTCCTCTTACCCCTTCAAGCCTTTTGTCACAGTTCCGTTTACCACCTGTCCCTAATTGCTCAGATTTCCAACCTCATACTATCCTATACATCTCCTAATCTGAACCTTTCTCCCACTCTACTATTACTTGCAAAACCCTTCCAAGTGTGCCCTCTGAAATGCATAGCCATCATTCTACTTTCTGAAATTCTTTCTTAAATGTTTCCCTTTCTTTGTTCTAACTGAATCTCTCTCTCTCTCTCTCTCTCTCTCCTCTCCTGGATACCAATGCCCATGAAGCATTGTCAATGATGGTTGTTTTCTCCCCTACAGTCCTTTGCACCCCTCCCTACCACATGGAGTAAGGATAAGAGTCCTCTAGCACTCATCGCCATTGAAGATCATTGGTACTTTTGTCCCTTCCTAACCTCTAACCTCTGACAAGCTTTGATGATTTTATCTTTAAGCTATAGCTCCTCCTGCTGCAGATGTGTACAAATTCCCAAGCCATAGCTCTATATCTCTTTAAGAAACTCTCCTATGCTATTCTTGCCAAAATTCTTAGTACTTTTATTGCCCACCTCAATAATCCTTCTGCTAATGGACTTTCAGTTTATTAACCATTGCTCTTCCAACAAGCATGTCCTCTTCTCCATCTCATCTCACACTTCTAGGGTTTCACCAAGGGTTTCATTATCCATAATAAGCCTATCCAAGCACTGGCTTCAAACTGCCCTCCCAGTCCATTGCCACTAGTGCTCCTCTTCCACCTAGT